TTATTATAGTGTTCCTCCCCCTTTGGCCTTAGAAATATCACAGTCTTTTAATTTTCTTCCTACCTTTCTAGTTGCTTCAATGTCTCTTTCACTGGTTCCTCATTCTCCTCCTTACTCATAAATATAGGTATTCTGGCAGGGTGGTCTGTCCTTGATTAGAAGGACCTAGGCGGCACAGTGAGTGGAGTGTTGGTCCTAGAGTCAGTAAGACCTGAGTTCAAATCTGGCCTCAGACACTTACCAACTGTGTGACCCCAGGCAAGTCACTTACCCCTAGTTGCCTCAGTTTTCTTATCTATAAAATGAGCTGGAGAAGAAATGGCAAACCACTCCAGTATCTTTGCCAAGAAAACCCCAAAAGGGGTCACACAGATGTGTTCATGGAAAAGATGAAACAAGTACCAGATAATTTGGGATGGGTTGGGGGGGGGGTGGAGGGGAAAGATCCAACAACCAGGGGAATCAGAAATAGTCTGTTGTGTAAAAGGTGGAACTTGAGCTGAGCTTCAGAGGGAGACCTAATGCAGCCAAGAGGGAAAGATGAAGAGGGATCCAGGAAATGGCTTGTTACATAGCTATACTATATCGTGTGTGTGTATGTGTATATATATATATATATATATATAATGCTATTTATATATATGTGTGTGTGTGTGTTATATGTGTATATTATATAAATATATATTTTTTCATATGTATATTAAAATAAAAGGCCACTGGCTTTAATTATAAGAACTAACCATATAGTGGGGCCATTTATGAAGAGTAATTTGACAGATGCCATACTGCTTGGGTTGAGAAGGAAGGAAATAGTGAGAAAGTGGAAGCATTTGATATGGATTTCTCCCTAAAAGTTTAGCAGTGAAAGATAGAAGATATGTGTATATGGGAACAGAAAGTAGGCCAGTTTGATTGACACATAGAGTTCACAATTCAGAACAATGTGCAGTCAGCTTGGAAGAAGAGAAGCCAGATTATCAAAGGATTTTAAGTGACAGAGCAATCAGTAGGGAGCCATTGATGCTTCTCGAACAAGGTTAGTGACATGGTCAGACCTTCATTTTAGAAACAGCAGTTTGTCGGCTGTGTAGAAAGTGTCTTGGTGACGGGAAATGATGGGACACTGGGAGATAATGAGGAAGTTACTGCAGTAGTCTAGGTGAGAGATGATGGAGGCCTGAACTGGGGTAGATGTGGTGTGAGAGGAGGGAAGGGGTGAATGCAGAAGAGAATTGTGGAGGTAGGATCGACCGTCCCATCTACCTGGTCGCATGTGGGGAAGAGGTGAGTGAGAATGAAGAGTTAAGGGTGACTTCTAAGTTTGCTAACTTGGGTAACTTGAAGAGTAGCGGTGCCTTGTTGACTTCTCTGAAGCCTCTGACGTTGTTGATCTCTCTCTTCTCTCTGAGTTTTCAGGACTTTGCTCTCTTCTGGTTCTCTTCCTACCTGTCTGATCACTCCTCCTCAGTCTCCTTTGCTGGATCTTGGTCGTGCCCTTTAACTGTGAGTGTCCCAGCAGGCTCCGTCCTGGGCCACCTTCTCGTCTACACTGTTTCACTTGGTGACATCACCAGCTCCCTTGAATTCCCCTATCCTCTCTACGCTGATGATTCCCAGACTTATTTGTCCAGGCCTAACCTCTCTGCCTCTGGTCTCACATCTCCAATTGCTTGTTGGATATCTAGAACAGGATGTCTTATGGACATCTTAAACTCAACATGCCCCAAACTGAACTCATCATCTTTCACCTCAAATCTTTCCCTCTTCTTAACATCCCTGTTACTGTGGAGGATACTACAATCCTCCCATCCACCCAGGCTTAAAACCTAGGTGTCATTCTTGACTCTTCACTATCTCTCAGTCCTCACCCCTCAGCCAACCTGTTGCCAAGGCCTGTTGATTTTCATCTTCATAACATATCTAGTGTATGCCCCCTTCTCTCCTCAGACATTGCCACCACCTTGGTGGAGGTCTTTATCACCTTGTGCCTGAACTATTTCGTTGGCCTCTGTGCCTCAATTCTCCCCACTCCGGTCCATCCTCCACTCAGCTATCAGTCTTCCTAAAGCATATATCTGGCTATGTCACCCTCTTCTCCCCCAATCAATCAACTCCAGGGGGTCCTTTATTCCCAAGACCAAATAAAAAGTCCTCTGTTTAGCATTCAAAGGCCTCCATAACTTCTACTTTTCCATTCTTCTTACATCTTCTTTCTGTTTACTCTATATTCCATTGACACTGGTCTCCTTGCTGTTCCTTACACATGGCACTCCGCCCCTTAACTCCCAACGTTTTCACTGGCTGCCCCTCGTACCTGGAACTTGCCCTCCTCATCTCTCCCTCCTCACGTTCCTGTCTTCTTCAAGTCTCACCTAAAGCCCTACCCAAGAAGCAGACTTTGCCTGTCCTCTCTAAGCTCAGTGCCTTGCCTTTGAGATTACTATTTATCCTGTACATGTCCTTTTTGCACATAGATGTTTGCATGTTGTCTCCTTGCCTAGACTGAGCTCCTTGACAGCATGGACAGTGCTTGGCACAGTGCCTACCACTTAGTAATAAATGCTATTCGCCTAACAGAAATAGGGAAGCTAAGAGAAGCAGTGAATTTAGGGGAATGGGAATAAGTATTGTTTTGGACATACTGAGTTGAGCTGCCTTTGGATTATTCAGGTGGAGATGGTCAGGCATGCTTTCGGAGGTGTGCACTTTCAGGAGAAAGATGAGGATTGACTCTGTAGATTTGAGTCTATACTGCATCTGTATAGAGAAGATAGCCAAATCTATAGAAGATGATGATCTGACCAAGAGAGAGTATAGAGGAGAAAAGAGAAGAGGAGAGGGACCTCGACAGAGCCTTAGGATGGGGCTTGGATGACAAATTTGCGGAAGAGACCGAGAAAAACCAGTTTGACAGGTAAGAAAAAAACCATGGCGGAACAATATCCCCAAAATCTAAGGCTAAGAGGCTTTGCAAGAGGAGGGAATGTTCAATAGGGTGAAATGCTACAGAGCGGACCAGAAGTGGTCTTAGGGAAGGCTGTGGATCTAACAGGAAAGAGATCATTGGTGACATTGGAGAGAACAGTTTCTCGCAAGTTGTGGGGTCAGAAGGACTGCAAGTTAATGAGCAAGTGAGAGGGGAGAAAGTAAAGGCAACGAAAATGGACAGCTTCACAATAGCTCATTCCCTTTTACCATAAATTTGCTCTTCCTTTTTATGTCAATATTTTTGTTTGGAGAACCATCAACTGCCCAGTCCCACATGCTCGTAATCTTGGGGTTATTATTTTTATTTCTTCTTCCTCCTCAATTCTTTGATATGCAGTCAATTAATTACCAGGTCTTACTGAGTTCATCTCTGCAACATACTTAAATCTGTCTTCTCCATTCAAATTGCAGATACCCCAGTAGAAGCCCTCATTGCCATGTACCTGAACTATTGCAATAGGCTCCTAACAGTACTTCCCAAGTCCACTTTTTCTCCTTTCCAATCTGTCCTTCACACCTTGCAAGAATGTTTCCTCTGTGTAAGTCTGTTTATAATATTAATTTCTTTGCCCAAAAAATCTTCCATGACCCTCTTTTGCCTACTGAATAAAATCTTTGGTATTCCAGGTTTTCTACAACATGATCCCATGTTATCATTCGAACCTTGTTTCATGATTCCCCTCCTTACATTTATTTATTTTTATTTTTTGCTGCGGACAAACAGAATGGCTCTTTCACTACACCCCTCCCCCTCCAACATGCTGTACTTTTGCATCTCTCTGCCTTTTATGCAGCCTGTTCATTCTGTATCTGGAGTATGCCCTCCTTCTCCATCTTCTGTTGAATTCCAGTCTGTCCTTTTAGTGCCTAACCTCGATGCTACCTCTTTGTGGTATCAAGTCTTCTCTAATTTCCCCTAGTCACTAATGACCTTTCTTCTCAGATGTTTTATAACACATTATGTTATAATTCACTAGTGAGCTTATATAATGCTATGTATCTATCTAACCGTATCTACACATATCTATCTATTATTTATTGATCTATATATATATGCATCTATCCATATCCATATCTAGACATAACTATCCATCTATCATCTGTGTGTTGATCTATGTACATATGTATGTGTGCATATATTGTCCTATCTCCTATCATCCATCTATCTATCTAATAATATTTCTGTCTATGTATATATCTGTCTGTATTTGTCATCTCTGGAGTTAGTTGTGATTGGGGTCCTGTCCACCTATTGGGTCTATAAGCCTGAATTTTGCATGTCCCCATGGGGTATTATGCTTTGTACAAAAAAAAAGTTGATAAACATTTGGGAAGAGATAATGTGGTAGGATAGACTTATACAGTGCTGGGCTTGGAGTTAGGAAGATCTAGATCTTAATATTGTCTCTGACCCCCTTTTAAGCTGTGTGATCATAGACAAGTCATTTAACCTCTCTGAGCCTCAATTTTCTTATCTCTAAGGTATAATAATACCTAGATTTCCTCCATCCCAGAGTTGTTGTAAGGTTCAAATGATACTATGTATGGATAGCACTTTGAAAACTTTAAAGTGCTATATACATGCCAGTTAATTTTTGTCTTTGTATTGTTCTAAAAGGATATCCAAAGAGTTGGAAAAGAGTCAGGGCATGCTCCAAACACCCAGTGACTTCAAAGATCAGTATGCATTTATTGTGGATGAAATAGTACTCTCTCAAAATTCTCTACACAGCCAGATTTAGCTTTGCAGAACTAGAAAATTCAAATGAAAGTTTCACTTTTGCCTGAAGTAACTAGCATCACCGTCATCAATATAATTTAAGAATCTATAACCAAAGGTATCTCCCATGTACGGTTGGCACTCCAGGTCTCTTGATGTCATGGACCCCTTATTTGCAGGTCTTTCCCAAGGAAGGCTGGCCTTGAAAACATGGCTCTTTGCTCTGAAAACACATGCTTTTTATTCCCTCCCAAATAAAATTTACTCATTTCTTTATAATCGTTCTTAACAGGAAGAACAACGGAAAAGAGAAGAGGAGAAGGAAAAGAAACGAGAGAATGAAATGGTCTTTAGAGCTTGGTTGCAAAAGAAAAAGGAACACTTTATGGAAATGAGAAGAATTCAGAGGGCAAAGGAAATGGAAGACATGAATAGCAGAGTAAGTAAAACTTCTCTTATTGATAGGGAATGAACGTGCATTGCCCAAAACTTACCCATGTTTTCACCTGGAAATTAATGGAAAATGATTAAAATAATGTAGGTAAGTTAAACAGACATGTGGTTCTGCAAAAATGATCAGATGAAAAAAAGAGTGGCTTGAATCTCTGTGAAAGAACTGAGTCCCTTTCAATTTTTGTTAAAATTCACTAAGTTTCTTTTGGTCTTACTTATCTTATTCAGGCTAGTCTTTTGGTTCCTAAGACCAAAGAACCACAGATCTAGAGTAGGAAGGAATCTCAAAAGCCATCTGGTCCAGTCTCTTCATTTTACAAATGAAGAAACTGAGGCCTAGAGAAGTTAAGTGACTTGCCCAAGTTCATGTCGATAGTAAGCATCAAATTTAGGCTTTGACCCCAGGGCCTCTGACTCCAGAGACAGTGAGAACTCTTTCTACTGTATGCATTGATACTTATTAATATGTTCACATCACTGAAACTTTCAGTGATCCTTTTATAAACAGAGATTTTTATTTGGCCTTTGGTATTTTATAACGCATCATTACAGAGTCAATCTTGTCTTCTTTTGTGTTAAAGCTTTTAAAATCTTTGGCTCTGAGTGAGGCTGGTAGGGAACAGAGGTCAGTGTGTCTGATAGCAACTGTTAAATACTTAGAGACCCCTTCCAGTAGCCTGGGACTGGCACGAAGAGAAGAATCCCTAGGATAGAGGAGCTGCAGGGTTAGTTTAGAGACCCTTAGGTAGTGATGTATGTGTAGTAGTGGACAGCATCTGGCATAGGAGGGAAGATGATATTACATCCTATCTTCTTTAATATTAGTCCTCTTACTATAAAGACTCAAACACAATTTAGTTGCAATGTTGTGTGTGATTCTGTTAAACTTTTTGGATGCATCACCTGATAAAAACTCATCATCATAGGTAGCTGAAACCAGCCCTAGTTTCAGTTAATCTTTGTATCCATAAAAATGTCCCTCTGGCTTACAATAGTTTGCATTGGCTGTGATCTATTTTTACATCACTATTAGCTTATTTTCATGTTAATTGTCCTTTCTTATTGTTCCCCACAGTACTAATGCAAGAGAACAGGAATGTTTGGCTAAAGCATATATGATAAACAAATTTAATGGAACCCTTCTAAAAAGATTAACAGAAGGGAGAGTCATAGCTCGTTAGATTTCTTTGGGGCCTGTTGCTTTATTGCTAGTACTAGAGAAATATCAATGGATGTTCATTTACTATCTGGTTCCACGATGTAAATGTTTTTAGTTAAAAAAAAATTAAAGGTGTATAGCTATGAAATGCTTAGGCATTTCAGAACAAATTGTGAAGGCACAAAAGAAGAAAGACTGATGGTCAATATCATTGAATTACCTCTAAAGAGATGAGATCTCCTTGGTCTTTTTAAAATGACTGTTGTAGACCAGGCATGGTGTCAAATGCTTATCATCCTTTCTGCCAGGGAGTTTGAGTCTAATGGATTGTTTGAGTTGGAGAGTTCTGAGCTTCAGTGTGCTAAGCCAATCAGGTGTCTGCCCTTAGTCTGGCATCAATATGGTAAGTCTCTGGGAGTTGGAAACCACCAGGTTGCCTAAGGAGGGGTAAACTGGCCCATGTTGGAAAGGGAGCAGGTCAGACCTTCTGAGCTGATCAGTAGAGGTATCAGGTCTATGAGAGACCTTCAGTCTCTCAGACTTCAGACTTCAGACTTCAGCCTAAGTGAGATTTGGAGACCCAATTTTTAAAAAAAACCAGACTGTAGTTCTTTTTGAATAGTTAATAGCCTTTGATAATGAATGCTCTACTGTGTGAGCTACAATTAGCTATTACTTTGGTGATCTGGCTTGTGCTTTTATGACCTTTCAGATTCTTCGTGTCTCCATTGGAGCTGACAATCTTTCAAAAGTCTAGTCATCAAGTAGATATAAATAGTACCTTATTAAAGAGTCACAAGACCTGAAGTGGGAGAAAGACTTAATTTAATCTCTCTCCTTGACTAATGATTCACTATTGATAAGTGTAATGAGTATGCAAGTTTAATAATGGGAACATGGCTACTATCTCACCTTAAATTTCCCTAAGCTGTACTGTACTTTTGAGAATACTGATTGCTCTTCATATTAAACTATTCAAGAAAAACTAGAGTACTCATTTTCTTCTATTTGGTTTTATTAAATTTTAGGCTCAAACAGCCCAGATTCGTATAGTTCTGTTTCTAACTTTTTACCACTCAATTTATTTTGGCTTGTTATAAATGAACGCAAAGAGGGGAAAATTATCTTCTCCTTCAAGTAGTCCTATAATCTATACCAAATCAGGTTTTTCTCTACTCCCAAATTTGAGTGGATAAGCACAGGCAGTCATCTCAATAATTCAAGCAGAAGATAGTTAGACCTACTGCCCAAATGTGTATTGGCACATATAATACTATTTTAAATTTGTGCTTAAAGTATTTTATATTTTTTGAAGTTCTATTCATCATCTCATCAATTAGTGATGTTGGGATATTACTATCTTCAGATAAAAGAGGAACCTGGGGCTTAGACAGGTAAAGTGATTTGCCTCAGGTCACCACACTTGGTAGAATTGGGGCCATCCTGTCTCCTGATACCCGTTTCAATTCCATATCCACCATATCACTTTGCCCACACACAGACCAAATTGTTTTAATGTATATAGCAGAAAACTATTAGAAAACTGATTTGTTGTTCTTTATGGAGAAGGAAATATAGTTGTGTATATGTCTCTTGGGAAGCATAATCATTTTTAGATGTGTTAGCTTAAATAATGCTTTATGCCTTGCTTTCAGATGACCACACATTCAATTGTATATATAAGCCTGGTTCTTGAATGTGAACTGCATGATACATAAAATTCTTGTACTTACATTTCTGATGAAAACCTCTTAAAGTTCTTAATCAAAGAAGAGTGTATAAAAACAAATATTTGGATTTGACAAGAGAGGTATGACTATTACCCCAGTTAGTGTTATTTTTCCAATTATCTGGAATTGATCTTTAATCATAACATCCACACGCACAAATACAAATTAGTTGATGTTTTATTAAGTGTGAGGTAAATATTTTATTCTCATGTGAATGAAGACACATGTGTTTTACCTGTAAGCTGATGGCACCAGGCATTTCAGAAACTTCAAGATCAGATGACAAGCTAGTGACAGAATTAATTTAAATCCCTATTTGTTCCTAGAGCATCTTTTCTCTTAGTATCCTTACGTTTAGAGCTTAGGTTTCTTTTGCCAAAGTAAAGAGCAAATGTTTGGATAATTCAGGCCCCAGATACGCTTATGCTGTGATCATTCTTTAAGAAGTATTTATTAAGCAGCTAATATTTTCAAAGGCAGCTAGAGGATAGAGCACCAGGCCTGGAGTCAGGAAGACCTGAATTCAAATCTGGCCTCAGACACTTATTAGCTGTGTGACCCTGGGCAAGTCACTTAACCCTGTTTGCCTCAGTTTCCTTATCTGTAAAATGAGCTAGAGAAGGAAATCTTTGTATCTGTGCCAAGTATCTTTGCTTAGAAAACCCCAGAAGGAGTCACAAAGAGTTGGACATGACTAAAAATGATTAAATAAATATGTGCAAGGACCTACATATGAGCATAAGCCCTAAACCACTGATACTAGGAAAAATCTTTATAAAAATATTTAAGAGCAGAAGCTAAGGTCACTGCAATATAAACTGAAAAAGTAAAGAATTTTGCCATTATTTTTGGAAGGGGCTTTTCCTGGCAGCATTTAGTATTAATTGGTGGTTAATTGTGGGTTGAGATGAAATGAATATTTTCCTGTCTTGAGAAGGAACTATGGTAGAGCCATGATAGTGATCTTTGTTATCAGACCCCGCGTCAGAGCTTGGTCACAAGTCATTTTTAAGAACATGAAAGGGCAGCACCAGAAGGGCCACCACGACCTTCAAAACACAGCTATGCTCACTGAGACTCTGAGAGGGTCATAGGCTTCTAGGGGTCTCTCTGTGAGCACTCTTACCCCCCTGCTTCTGGCAGCTGGCCTGTCCTGGGCTACTTACTTGGCAGCCAGTCAACTTTCCTTTCCACCTGTGGCATATGGCCTTAGCTTCTAGATCTTAGTCTTCAACCCGGGCGTCATCCCAAGGCTTTTTGCTGCCCCTGACTGCTTAGCCTGCTATTATTAATTCCCACAAGCCTAGTAAACCCTTTAAGTGTTAAGATTTTTTTTTTTTTTGCATTGTGGCATTTCTAGGCTTATTTGAATACAAAATCGACTGAGAAGTTAAAAATATGTGACTAGAGAGGCCAATTCAATCAAAAGTGAGCAGTAAGAACAGATGAGCTTGAATCTAGTACTGGGGCAAAGGTATTAGGATTGGGAATTCCTTATATACTTACTGCCAGGGCAGGAACTAGTGACAGCACACAGATGAGCCTGGCATGGAAGAAAGAAAAAGAGGAAACAAAGAAGGAAATAAGCACTTGCTTAATTTTTTTGATGCTAAATGCATCTTTTAAAAAATCGTTAGCTTTTGTTTTCAAATCACCTTCATTTCCTAATATATTCCCCACCCTCCACTATCCCTTCACTTCCCAGCTTTCCCTTATTACAAAAAAAAGTTGAGAGGAAAAATAAAGCAATTCATTGTAACACTTGTTGCACTGGCCCCCATTGCCTAGAAGGCCAAGTATGTTACATTTATATAGTTCCTGCTATGTGCTAGATACTGTGCTAAGCACTTTACCGTCATTATCTCATTTGAGCCTCACAGAAGCCCTAGGAGGTAGGTGCCAATATTATCCCCATTTTACAGTTGGGGAAACTGAGGTAGACAGAGGGTACTGTCAAATCTGTCCTGCTTGTCTGTTTTTCCTCCTGAGCTTCCTTCGGTTATTTCGTCCTTTAAAAAAATGCCTCAGTGATGCTCTTGCCTTCATTTTTTGTCAATCCTATTGCTAGTTCCTCCCTCTACTTCAATTCCCCTGAATAAAATAATCTTTTAAACAAATAATCAAATAAGCAAAACAAATATAGACATCTCCATGTCCAGAGATGTATGTCTAATTCTGCCCATTGAGTCCAGTCGCCCCTTTGTTAGAAGCTGGCTTGCTTATTTCTTGTCAGTCTTCCAGAGTCATGGCAGGTCACTGCATCGTTCAGTTTTTAAGTCTTTTGTAGGTGATTTTCTTGACAATGCTGCGTTTACTATATAAATTATTTCCAGTTAGTGCTCCCCTTCTTTCCCATGGGGTCATTTATTATCACCATGCAGATGATTCCCAGGTCTATATATGCCACCTCCGTCTTTCTCCTGAGCTCTAGTCCCACATCACCAGCTCCCTTTAACATCTCAGATGGAATGTCCTGTAGGCACCTCGAGCTCACCACATCCAACAAAGAACTGCTGAGCTTTCCCCAAACCCTCCTCTCTCTTCAGTTTCCCTGTTACTGTTGACAGCAGCACCGCCATTCTTGCAGTCGTCCAGGCTCACAATTTCAATGTCATCCTTGACTTCTTACTTGCATTCATTCCTTTGCCATGTCTACCTTCGCCAGATCTCTCATACACATTCTCATCTTCTCACTCACACAGCCACCACCTTGGTGCAGGCCATCCTTGCTGTACACCTGGATTGTTGCAATAGCCTGCAGATGGGTCTTCCTGCCTCAAGTCTCTTTCCACTCCAGTCCATCCTCCTCTCAGCTGCAAAAACAATAAGCTTCCTAAAGTGCCAGTCTGACATGTCACCACCCTGTTCAGTGAGCTTTTGGTTACCTTTGGGATCAAATATGAAACGCTCTGTTTGACACCTCAGCTGCTTCCTTCCTCTCCAGTCTTCTGGTGCTTTACTTCTGTGATCCAGCAGTACTTTTCTTGCTGCTCCCAGCACGTCATATGGCTGTCTCCTTATTTTGTGCCTTTTCACCGGCTGTCTCACATTTCTGGAATGTCCTCCCTCTTCACCTCTGAATTTTGCCTTCCCTGGCCTCCTTCAAGACTAAGCTCAATTCCTCCCTTCTGCGTAAGTCTTTTCCCATTCTTTCCTACCTTCCCTCTCCCTCTCCCGTTATCTCTCTGAGATTTCTATCCATTTATACCATATCTATCTTGTATGTACATAATTATTTTATGTTGTCTCCCTCAATCGGAATATAAGTTTTTGCCTTTCTTTATATCCCCATTGTTTAGCCCAGTGCCTGGAAAATAGTAAGCATTTTAAAATGTTTACTGATTCATTGACTCCTGTTTCTGCTCACTTCACTTTTCATCAGTTTATACAAGTCTTCCCAGGTCTTTCTGAATCTATCCTTTTCATCGTTTCTTAAGGCTCAGAAATATTCCATTACATTCATATACCATAATTTGTTTAGCCATTTCCCGTTTGGTGGGTACTCACCCTCTTTGTTTTTAGTTCTTTGCTACAACAAAAAGATGTCAAAAATACTTTGTATGTGTGAATTTTTTTAGTCTTTCTTTGCTCTTTTTGGGAAATGGGCCTACTATCACTGAGGATTTAGTGGGTGTGAGCAGTTTAGTGACTTTTGAGGCATAGTTCCAAGTTGATTTCCAAAATGGCTGGACCAATTCACAGCTCTGTCTACAGTGCCTGTCTAATCATCATTTTCCTTTTTCATTATCTTTGCCAATATGATAGGTGTGAGTTAGAACATTAGAGTTGTTTTAACTTGTATTTCTCAAATTATTAGTGATTTGGGACATTTTTTTCACATGATGTTGGTGTCTCAGGTCTTGTCCTTTGAGAACTACCTGTTGACATCTTTTTAGTATCTGTCTGTTGTAAATGGCTGTCATTCTTATAGATGTGAATCAGATAAACATTTTCATTTGATAGACTTTTTGAAATTTTTTCCCCAAACAGCAAGAAAACAGAGATCCCCAGCAAGCTTTCCGATTGTGGCTTAAAAAAAAGCACGAAGAACAGATTAAAGAAAGACGGATTGAAGAACTGAGGCGACAGGAGGAGTGTTTGTCCTTTCTTAGAGGGGCAGAAGGCCGTGACAGGGCATTTAAACAGTAAGTGAAAGGAGAGGGGTATGTGTCAGCATTCTTATTGCTTTGGTAAATACTTTGGTAATTTAAAGAAACTGATTGATTAGTGTGGAAGCTCCTTACTGTTGCATCTTATGTCTTTGAACTTAGCTAGATAGGTCCTTTTACATTTGACACAGAATCTTTGGGTCCTGTAGTTGAAGACTTTTCAGCTTGGTGTCTATTTCAAGAATTTAGTTTCTTCTGGCATGGTGTTGAAGGACCTAGCATAATCTCCATGCCATAAAGAATAAAGCTTCAGTGGATTAAATAACATATTAGGTCTAAAAATGTATTCATTTTGCCTCTTGCATTATCCATTTGAGTTTTTGGCTTAATCTAATTTACATAAGGGGTCATCTGAGATTGCTAGGTACTATATTAAAATGAAGATCTGCTGGATGCCAACCCCAATACTATAAGTAACAGTATAGCTTGGAAGGACCATGAGGTCATCTTCCTGTAATACTCTGGTTAGACCCTCACCAGAGTACTGTTTGGTTCTGAATTCCAAAACTAGAAGAAAAAGAGAAGACCTTGAAAAAGGTTCAAAAGAGAGTCAGAAAGACAATTAGAGGGTTGCAGGATACATCTTCCTTGGGGAGATTAAAGTACTTGGGATTATTTAACCTGGAGAGAAAGCCAAGGGGAGACTACTGGTTTAGGACAGAGTGTTGTGGACCAATTTGGCCATGGGATATTTGAAGCCTTGAAATATATTGATGAAATTCACAAATACTGGTCCATGAGACATTGAGCTATAGAATATTTCCAGGATAAAGAGGTGTGAAGGGAAAGTTTTATGCGAAGAAGGGTAAATGAAAGCATTTTTTCATAATGAAAAATTGTTAGATTGTAATTACTGTCTTTGTTATGAGATATCATATTTGGTATTTTTGAAGGCAAATAGCATGAAAATCCTTTCATGTAATCATTTTTCAGTAATATGGAATACACAGGTCCTGTGGAGCACAGTTTGGAAAATGCTAGTGTCGATAAATGTGAATTTACTATATGTAATTTGGACTAAAGTCTAACCTATCTTCTAAAATCTAGGTCCACACTTTATGTACCATAGTATTTGACTTGAAATGAGCCTAAGAGATCATTTAACTCTGCCCTCCCTTTTACCTGTGAAGAAACTGAGACTCAGAGAGGAATAAATGACTTGCCTAGAGTAATGAGTTTCTTTAATATTTTGGAAAAAATACTAAGGCTTGGATTTAGGATACTGGAATGCAAAGCTATCAGTAGTGCTAGCTTTTGAAGGTTAGGACAAATAGAAGTGATGGAAATGTTAAATATTAAAATAGTATTAAAATTCAATTCAACAAGCATTTGTTAAGCACCTGCTGTGTACCCAGAATTATGCTCTGTGCTGGAGCCCTGCAAGCCTAGAGTAGCTCCTTCTCTCAAGGAGCTTCCAGTCTCCTGGAGGGAAAGAACACGTTCCCAGGTAAGTCAATACAAAATATATACAGAAGGATTTGGGGGATGGGGAAGATCACTAACAGTGAGAGGGATCATGAAGGGACTTTTGTAGGCAGGCGGTGATACCAGAACTGAGCCTTGGAGGAAGCTTGGAGATCCAAGGGGCAGAACTTGGGAGAGTGAACATTCCATGGAATGGGAGACAGCTTGTGCAAAGGCAGGGGATGGAACATTGTAGAGAGAGCAGCAAATAGGTCATTTTGCCTCAAATATAAAGTATGCAGGAGAAGGGAGAAAAACTGTTTGGAGCCCCATTGTGAAAGACTCTAATCAACTAACCGAAAGACACTTATTAAGTGTCTACCATAGGCCACATACTATGTGGGGCACTGAAGATTCAAAGAATGCAACAACCCCTTCTCTCAAAGATCTTAAAGTTCTTCAAGGGTGACGTCCATCTGTGATATATACAAAATAGCAGAGGAGTTAGGGAGGGAAGACACTAGCATTTGGGCTGGGGGAAGTTGGGAAAAACTTGAAAGGCTTCAAGAAGGTGGTGCTTGAAGGAAGATGGGGATTCAGTGAAGTGGATGCAAGGGAGTAGGGGTGGGGGGGGGATCTGTATTCCAGGCATGGAGGACAGCTGGCGCAGAGGCATAGGAAGGTGGAAGATGATGGAGTGCTGTGTGTGGGGAACAGAGAGAAGACAAATTGTGCTGCACAGAGAATAATATAATAAAAATAAAATATAAAACAAATATAAATATAAAATAAATAAACAAATATAATAAAACAGGTTGGGGCCAAGTTATGAAGGGCTGTGAAAGTCAAACAGAGGAGTTTATAGTTTATCCTAGAAGTAGTAGGCAGCAACTGGAGTTTATTGAGTAGGAGAGTAACATGGTCAGACCCGAGTATAAGGAAAATCATTTTGGCCCCAAAGTGGAGGATGGATAGGAGAAAGGGGAGGCTTGAGGCCAAGGGAGCAGTTAGGACCCTATTACAATATTTCAAGTAGAGGAGTGCCTGAACTAGGGTGGGTCATCAGTGGAGATGAAAGAGATTGAATGCAGGAGATATTGTAAAGGAAGAATTGGTAAGGCTTGTTAAATAATTAGATATGGGATTGAATGGGTGGGAAAAGTCAAGTAAAACTCTAAAGTTGAAAATCCAGATGGCTTGGAGGGATGGTGTGGATTCAACAGAAGTAGGGAATTTCTGAGGAAGCTGGAGGGGTAGGCTTAGGAGGAAGGGTAATGAGTTTGAACCCATTGTATTAGAGATGCCTAAAGAAGTCCAAACAGATCTGTAAACAGGCAGTTTGTGATGCAAGACTGGAGTTCAAAAGATAGACAAGGAAGGGTTGGATGCATAGATTTTTTTTTTGTTTGTTTTTTGGTGAGGCAACAGGGGTTAAGTAACTTGACCAAGGTCACACAGCTAGTAAATGTATCAAGTGTCTGAGGCCGGATTTGAACTCAGGTCCTCCTGACTCCAAGGCCGGGGCTCTATCCACTGCGCCACCTCGGTGCCCCTTGGATGCGTAGATTTGATGGTCATCTATATAGAGAAGAAAATTAAATCTATGGGAGCTAATGAAATCACCAAGTGAGAGTGTATACAGAGTGAAAGAAATGGAGACCCAGGACCCAGACTTGGGGATTGTCCACACAGTAGGTGTGGGTGGAGGAGAATGTAAATAAGACTGAGGAGTAATCACTCAGATAGGGGAAGCAATTTCTGGAAACAAAGGGAGAAGAAATGTGTCTAGAAGGAGAAGGTTGGATGCCAGAGATATTGTAAAGGAAGAATTGCTAAGACTTGTTAACTGATTAGATATGAGATTGAATGAATGGGGAAAGTCAAGCAAATCTCCTTGACTCTTCTCCACTGTCTGGAGCCGCTGAGGAGATGAGTAGAGTGAAGACTAAGACAAAGCCTTGAGGTTTTCTTGTTATGAGAGTGTTGGTAGCCTGGGAAATGGCAGTTCCAACCAGGAGTGGGGTTGGAATCCATATGATAAAGAGGAGGTGAGGATATAGAGGTATTGAGTGTACGAAGGAATTAGACTTTGAAAGGTTAAAGAGATGTTCATAGGCCTGAGGCACCTGCAGGGTCCAGCAAAAGTTTAAAGGTGGCATTCAAAGAAAGGCAGAGATTGGAAAGGACAGTTTGAACAGTAAATGCAGCTTTTCCCCTTCACTTCCCAGAGGTAGCATGGTATAGTGGAAAGAACCCTGGATGTAGAGTCCAGAGATGGAGATTCTAATTTCAGCCCTGCTTATTGTACCACTGACCTTGGTCAAGTCATGTAACCTTCTGGCTTCAGTTTTCTCATTTGTAAATGAGTAGGTTGGATTGGATGGTATCTTCGGTTGCCATTTTGGCAGTATTTTACCCAAGTGGCCTCTACAGATTAGCCATTATTACTAAATTTTAATTTAGTACCTATCAGTATTTTAGTCTTTTTTAGACGTTTCATATTTTTCCCTTTTATAAGGCAGCACAAATATGTTTTATGCACTAGAAGAACTATGATTCTATTCACTTTCCTACTGTAAAAAGCAAGTCAACATTTGAAAAAATGTCTAGTTTTTATTTACCTTCTCTGCTGATTTCCTGACTTGGCTACTCAAGTTTAAAGAGTAGTTAGTTGCAAAAAATTACTTATTTGATTATATGAGCTTAAATTTTTGGAGTCACTTCCACATATGTGTGTGTGTGTGTGTGTGTGTACACATATGTATGTATATGTATGTGTTTTATATATATATATCATTGTATATACACACATGTATGTATATATGTATCTAATATATATGTATATGTATAAATTTCCCCTGCAGAAAGAAATCTATAAAGTCCTTTGCCTCTCATATAAAAATGTTCCCTGAATTGGCAGTGTTATAGGATTAAATTTCTGAACATTTGAATCCAATGTAAACTATGGCAACAGTTGGTTTCCTTTCTAAGTAGATGTTTGAGAAAATTAGAGCCTGTCACCTTAATATCTTCTCCTGGGACTATATTTGTTTGTTTTAAGTCAATGCCAGGTTCCTTCCATTTTGGGAGGGTTGGTGCATTTAACATAGTCCTTTTGGACACTTACAAAATGTCTTTGTGTCTTTCCAGATGGCTGAAAAGAAAACGAATAGAGAAGCTGGCGGAGCAGCAGGCTGCCAAAGAGAGAGCCAGGCAGCTGCGCATCAAAGCCTGGCGATCCAAACAGCTACAGAACCTCCTTTACATCATTTCAGAAACTAAACCCTTTCGTTTTACCAATCATTACAGTTGAAGGTTCCTGTCTGCACCGGATCCTTACATCGGTAGCCAGTGTCCCCTCACAGCGGCAGATGTCATTCCTTGTTCTGATCTGTGTGCTTTGGTCATCTCCTAAATGATGGGAAAATATATTCATCCTTCAGTGACAGTGAATTTATCTATTTTTTTAAAATTCTAGAACTGAATAAATGCCTTTTATTTCACTGTTGTAAAGTATTCCACATGCATTGTTTCAAGCAAATTAAATGAAACAAGATGAATAAAATCCATTTTCACTAGTTTTAACTTACTGGACTAACACAGTTATTAAAAAAACCTTAAAATAATTTATTGCTTTGAAAACACCATAATGCCATTTTAAAGCAACTTGGCTTAGTGGATAGAGAGCCAGCCTTGGAGTCAGGATGACCTAGGTACAGGTATTGCCTCTGGTGCAAACTGATCTGTTGGTCCTGGGCAGAATACAAGCTTCTGCTCTGCCTTGGTAGAGGGAATTTTCTCACTGGGAGTGCCTTATATCAGTGAAATCACAGGTCTGTCCCACCTTCCCCCCGGTTGCTACTTTATGACTTGTGTACTAAAACATTTCATGAAGCAGATTGAGGGCTGTTTCATTATGCCACACCCGCTAACAGTAAGTATTTTCCAATCTTCTGTCCCAGTCCCTCTTCTCTTTTCCCTCTTTTCAAGCTCACTTGGTTATCGTAGCTCCTATGTATGGGTTCAATTACCACATCTGTGCAAATGTTCCCCAAATCTATCCAGCCGTAGTCATCTTACTGAGCTCTGGTCCTAAATCAAAAACCTGTCTTTTGGCTATCTCAGTCTAGGTCATGTGACCAACAAGATAGAGGACTAGACACTTTGTTCAATCCTCCCAACCTCTCAGACTTCTCCAAAATAGGAATTATGTGCAAGAGATAAAGAAATTTCACCTGCCTCCACTGTCTAAGACCCCATGAATGCTAATAAGGTAACAGCCGGATGAACTAACAGTAGAGAAAGCTAATCCCTAATTCAGTCACTCAATGTCCTCCTCCCCTAGTGACCAACACCCTATGGCAGAACTGCACAGGCTGATCCAGGCTTGCTACAGAACTCAACTCTGCCTCATCCCCACTCCTCATGCCAGAGAGCTAGGGAGAGAGACAAGGGAGGAGGAATGGCAACGTGTGTGATATTCCACAGTGCCTGAAGAAGACTGGCATCCACCTGTAATCGTTGTGTCCCCTCCTATGTCACCTGAGGCAGAGATTGAAGCTAGTGAAGTGTGAATTCCTCAGTGTGGGAGGGAGCTGGGAAAACTGGAGAAACTCACCAGAGGGGGAGGAGTCAGAAAGGGAGCAGTAGACGAATACAAGGAAAAAAGACTGAAATTGCCAAAGATCTTAGAAGGAAGAAAACTCAGTTAAAGACCTTGAGCATAAGCAGGTAAACCAACAAAAAAGATATTAATAAGAGATGGGAATGATATCTATGAATAATTATTGCAAAACAAATGAAAATTAGTCAATGATGAGGCCAAAGACCCCGTGGATTCCCAAGGGAACGTGAAACCACAGAAGGATGTTTTTGAATAGTTTAAAATACAAATAAGAATTGTGAGAACAGAACTCATAGCCTGCATAGCAGAAATAATTTTGAGAAATACTTGAGTCCATGGTGGCAAACCTCATTAAAAAAAAAAGAACTTATTACGAATGCAAATAGTAGAGGAGAAGGACAATCAGAAGAAGAGAAGCAAAAAGATGATCTCTAGACAAGCATAACGTTGATTTTGCAGACAGAATGAATAGATACAATATGAGGATGATAGATCTCCCAGAATAAACCTGAATCCCATAATGGAAGAAAGAACACAAGGAAACTGCGCAGAACTTCTGAACACACAAAGTGCTAATCCACTGTTTTCTTTCAGGAAAACACACACACTCCAAACTTATGCTGCAAACTCCAAGACATATATTGGCTAAATTTAATAATTCTTATGACAAGCAGAAAATTCTGCAGGTGACTAGAAGAGAGACCTTCAAATATAAAAGGAAATTTGAATGATATAACTATTCTGCCCCTGACAGAAACCTCAAAAGGGAATGGAGTAATGTGTTACAAGGAGCAAAGGAACCCAAGATGCAATCCACGGTGATATACCCTGCAAACTTGAGCCTAATCATTAATGAAAAAAGATGGACATTCAATTAAAAAGAGGCATTTGTAGCTTTCCTATAAAGAAAACTAGACGTGAGCAGATTATTTGCTTTGCAAACATCTCAGACAACAGAAATACTAGAAAAGTAAACCAAGACAGCAACCAAGGGAGGAACAAGTAACAAGTTATTCTGGAAAATATGAGGGAAAAATACCTAGAGAGGAAAGTCACCTATGAGGTTAAAAACGATAACAACAACAAATAACAGAGGGACTATTAAGAGATTGCTCTATCAAGGCACACCAAGGGAGAAGAATGGAAGTGGAGCTTAGATGAAGGAAGAGGCCTGAACTTCCATGGACTTTATAAAACTCCCAACACCTCACCTACAGGTGAATCTTTTTTTTTTTTTCAAATGAGACTAAACTGCAGAGTGGGAGGGTAAATAAAAGGGGAAAGGGGAGGAAGAAGACGGGAATACGTGATGTGCTTTGATCAAATCAAAGGTTAACAATGAAGAGAAAATAACTCTTGTAGTCTTTCATGAAGAAGGGTACAAAAGAAAGGGCAAAGGAGGAAGCAAAGAGAGAGAAAGCTTGTTTCGGTCATGGGAGGGTGTCCCACTGAGGAATGCGTATATAGAAGAGAGAGATTGTATAATGGGAGATGAGGAAATTACGGTAGATTTAGTTTATAGGGATTTGGTGCTTAGGTCACTCATCTTTGCCTCATGAGAAGGGAAATCAGAGGTCCTGTGGGCAGCTAATCCCCAAAAGAGTTAGGAGGGCATGGCTCCAAGGTGGAGATTTCATGGCAAATGGGGCAAAAAATTTCATGGGGAGAGCTAAAGGCAATAATGAACTGCACAATCAAGGACATGGGAAAATACCTCTCAGAAGGTCTTTTGTCTCACCTACAGGAAATGCTATTTCTGAGAGTGAGATGCAGTAGAAAAGGGGAGTTAGGGGACAAGATCTTCAGGGCAACAACAGAAACTATTTAGAAATAAGTGGGAACTCAAAATAGGTACCTCACAAGGTTTAATTCCACAAGGAATATGGAGACTAAAGAAGGAAGAAATAAGAATAAAAGCCATCAGTCAAAGAATAAAAGCCAAGAAAAGATAAGAAATGAATACAAATAATGAATGAGGGAAAGAAATATTTTTAGAAAAAGGTGCAGAAAATGAAATTTCAAAACAAAATAAGTTGAAAGGGAAGAGAAAAGAGATTTTACCTGACAACTGAGAAAAAGTATGGAAGAATTAGATAACTACACAATTTATTAATAATTTGAGATGTTAAGAATTAGATAAGTAGATTTAAAGGGAAAGAGAAATTAATAAGCTAAACTAAGGAATGGGGTAATAAATTGGCAGGGAGAGGGTGGTTGAGGGGAAGAGAACTGAATGGGAATGGGGTTGCCTTAAATTAAGAAAAAATAACTGAAGGAACAAAGTACCTTTTTTACAGAGAAAGAGGAACAGACCAATCCTAATTAAGCAAAACAAAACAAAACAAAAACCCAATATCAAAGGCAAATGGAGGAAAATAGAGACCTATTGTGACTGTAAGTGTGAATGGATTAAGCAATCCAATAAAATGAGAAAGTGAGAGACTGAATTAAAAAAACACAATTTGTTGCTTATAAGAAAGACACCTTAAAAACAGACACAAGAGGCTGTAACAAAATTTACTATGCATCTGGTGAATCAAAAAAAAGTAGGTTGTAATCACACAGTCAGACAAAACCAAACTAAAAATTCACAACAGGAATAAGATGTACATTATGTTGAAAGGAATTGTAGACCCCATTATCAATATTAATCTTACATTCCAAATGCTTTAGCATCTAAATTAATAAAGGAAAAATTAATTGAATTACAAGCAGAGACAGTAATATTGTGACAGATTTCAGTGTCCCTCTCTCAGTTTTGGACTAATCTAACAAAGATAAGAAAAAAGGAAAAAATAGAATTTAACAAATTTCTAGAGAAAGTAGAGCTAAAAGACTTATGACATCTTATGGGGCTATAAAATAATATATACTTTTCTCAGGACCCTGTAGAACGTTTACAAAAATTGCCCATATAGAAGGGCACAGAAATATTGCAAATAAATGTAAAATGGCAGAAATAGTAAACACATTCTTTAAAGACCATAGCATAATACAAATAGTAATCAATTTAAGGCATACAAACAAAAGACATAGACCCAAATAAAGATGTAACAATGAATCTTAAATGAGTGGGTCAATGACAAATCATAGAAACAATAATTATCTGAAAGAAAATGTTGTTGAATTATCATACCAGAATTTCTGAGATGAAGCTAAAGCAGTCCTAAAGGGGAAATTACATCCCCAGAAACATAATAAATGAAAGGAGAATTAAATAAGGGAATATATATTTAAAAATTTAGAAAGCCAAGAAATAAACCTAAAATGAAGCAAAGAAAAGTCGATACTAAAAACCAGAAGGGAAATAAATGAAAAAACCTATAGAAATGATAAAAATAAAATAAAAAATAAAAGCTGGTTCTTCTATACTCAAAATTTCCATTTTTGTTGTCTTGTCTAAACAACTTGACCACTTTCTTGATCTACCTAGTTTTTAGCCTTTAGTCAGCTCTTGGTGGCTCTTAAATATTTAATGTTTTGGATGGTTCACCTCTTATCTGTCTTCCTTGCTACCCACTAATGTCTCTACCAATTCTTTATGTGGAGCTCTTTAATCAAAAGATCTAGATTTGAGTCTTTGGGCATGTCACCTAACATCTGACCTTCATTTATTTGTAAAATTGGGACAATCATCTTAGCTATATCACAGAGTTGTTATGAGGAAAGCGCACTGTCAACCAGCAATTGCGTGTCAATGTGATTGATATTTATCATGTATGATCTTGTAGATTCTGTATGGTCTTTCTGTTGCATGTTCTGTTGTTGCGGACTTGAGAGACAATATCGTGTAATGGATAATGTTGTGGACTTGGGCATCTGGAAAAGCTGGGTTCAAATTCAATACTACCTGTGTTATTTTGGGCAAATCACTTACCTGCTCATAGCCTCTGTTCCTTACCTGTAAA